GGTTTTAACATTGTCAAAAGAATTTTAAAAGTCATAATGTTAGAATAATAAATATAGATATCTATATATAGTGACTGAAATAATAACAACTTTAATAAATTTGATTATACTAATATATTGCACAATTCATATATCTTCAATTAAATTAAGTTGTATCACAAATCTTATAAAACTCAAAATATCAAACAAGTCCTAACAATTAAACAAATAAGTTGATGTACAATTAAATACATAAAGCAAAAGTATAAGTTGCTAAGTCTTACATCTAATAAAACAAATATATTTAAAACAATAATTGCAATTATACATAACGAAAGTGAAAAAAAAAGACTAAGAGAACAATTGTTTTGTTAAGAAACATATTAAAAGTATTTTCACAAAATTATAATATAAGTTTAAATAAATAAAACGTTGTGTTTTGTGATTTTATATTTAACAAAAGAGAAATTTTAAATAAAATTATTAGCAAAAGAGAAATAAAAATTTCTATGCCATTAAGTAAATGCAAAAATAAGTGTAATTAATATCTCAAATAAAATATAATAATAATATTTTTGTGAACAATACGAGGTAAAATTCTAAAGACGGTGTGTGAAAATAGTTACATTTTAAATTTTACAATACTTTGTAATATTATATAGAAAATTAAGTCTATATTGATAAAAGATCATAATAAAATAATATATTAAAAGAAAATAATGAAAACTTAAAAATAAATAATTAAATTGAACCAATTTTGAATAATATAATTGAGTAGTTGTATTGATTGTAACTTCGCATGTAGCGCGACCTAAATTCTAGTAGCACCATAAGTTTAGGTGTTACCGTATTTGATAATGTTAGTTACTTTATTGTAACTTGTTATTTTTCCAGCAATTGTTTTTGATGTAAAGATTGCGTTAATTTTGCTTTTCTAATCCCTATTGGAGTATTTTTTATACTTGGAAGTCGACTACGATAAAATGTAAAACGCCACAAGAATGGATACCTACAAAATCATAAGCTTTTTAACACACCGTTGAACAACAATAGACGTACAGTTTTGCTCAAATAAGAACTATGGTCTAGACTCGATTTTTTTCACTTTC